GGTGACGAAGGGGTACGACTACTACGGCAGCACGTCGAACACGGCTGCGCGCACGGAGAGCGTTGCGAACGGCGGGCAGGTGCTGCTGACGCGGGAAGCGTACATGGCGCTGAGCGCGGCTGAGCGTGATCAGCTGGACGTGACTGCGCTGGGCGCCGTGGCGCTGCGTGGCGTGCCGAAGCCTGTGGAGATGTACCAGCTGGACGCAGTGCCCGGCCACACCTTCGCTGCACTGCGGCTTGATAGGGAGGAGAATATTGCCGAGGATAACATGAATGATGATGACTCCAGCAGTGAACATGTTTCGGGGTGCAGTACATGGAGTGGCACTGCACTGTTTACTTTGTTTGTGTTAAGGATGGTGTACGGTGCCTTTCCTCCTGCTCAGCGGATAAAGGTTCTGCTTCCGCTGTTCCAGCGCTGGTGTGTTTGTGTGCCCCCGAGGTCTGATCCTGTGTCTGAGGACACCTACTCGAATGATTTGATACACGTACTTTCTTTGAGGGTCGGTCGTGTGATGGAGCGGAAGTTAATTGTTGGTGGATTGGGGTTATTTTCTCCAGTAAGCACTGATATTTCGTTTGGTTTTAGTGGGAGTATGTTTTGTGAAGACCAGTCAGGATTTGACGGATATGGTTTTCGTAACAGAAGCTTTGCTACCCAAACTTTTAGTGTCGATATATCAACTCCTTTGTGAGAGGAAATGTGTTCAAAAACTGCTGATTCTATTGTGACTATATATGCCAAATGGCACCTTTAAGCAAGATAACCCAGTCATTGTAGTAATCTATTGCTGTTTTGTTTTTGTGAGATGTTATATTTGTGGGTTCCTATGTATTGTTTTTTTGGACTGCTGTATTTGTTATGATTAAGGTATTAAATGCTTTCTCGATGACTTGTCACTACTATTTATTGACCTTTTTTTTATATTTCTTATGTGGTTTATGTGTCACTCCTAATTGTGATTCTTTCATTCTCTGTTTTACATTACGAAGCAATTCTGTTGTTTTTGTTGATTATGTGAAATGCGTCAAGAAACCTGTGACCGATAAATTGGCTGTACTATTTTTTATGAAAATTTGTGTGTGGCAGAGTAAATGTCTGTTTTTTATTTCTTTATTGTTCA